CGTCTCCGCCCCGCCCCCCTGGAATTCGGATCCGGCCCGGAGGGCCGGGCGGGGCCGCGCGCTCTTAAAGGGGCCGCGCCTTTCCTGGGCGGCGGAGCGAGAGGGGGCGGGAGGACTTGGGCTCGTCCCGCCCGGTGAGGCCTGGAATCCCGGGGTGCTGCGCTATCAGGGTTCCCACGCCGCCGCCGTCCTCCTTCCTTTGGTTTCCTAAAGGAAGAGGTGGACGCTTTTAGTTGTCCACCCTCCCCGGGGGCCGGCGGCCTTCCCCGGGCAGAGGCTGCGGCTCAGCCGGTTCCGGGGATGCAGGAAGCGATAGGGCTCCCCGGCTGCAGCGTCACCTCCCACCCCGCGGCCAGATAGCCGGGCCCCCTCCCGCAGGCCCGGCGCCCCCGGGCGTGGTGGCCGGCTGGCAGGCGATGGGGACCCGCCGATGCGCGGGGGGCGGGGGCCTGGCCCGGGCCATCTGAGGGTCTGGCGGGCAGAGCTGCGCGGCGTGGAGGCGGCTGACCCCGCTGGGCTGGGGCCGAGGCCGAGGAGGGCCGGCACCACCGGGAAACCCTGCCCCCTGCTGCCGCTCAGAAGCTCAGAGCTGAATTTAATGAAGCTCCTACTGTGAGCCAGGCCGACTCTGTGCCCTTCACACAGGTCCAGGCTGGAGAGCAGCGGGTGACTGGCTAGGGGACGCCCTCATTTAAAGGCCAGAGGATCTTCTGAGCAGATGCCAGTGGCTCACGCCCGTCATCCTAGCTGCTCAGGAGGCGGAGATCTGAGGAGCAGAGTTTGAAACCAGCTTATAATCTTTGAGACTATCTTCAATTAATCAGCAACAAAAGCAGGATGTGAAGCTGTGACTCAAGTATTAGAGCACTGGCCTCGAGCAAAAAAGCTCAGGGACAGTGCCCAGGGTTCAAGGCCCAGGACCAACACAAAAAACAGAGGTGTCTGTGGCACATGGGCAAACACTAAGGGATCCTAATCATGGAAGAAGAGGTCAAAGATCTCTGAGGAAAACATAGCTAAGTCGGGGCCCAGTGGCTCAGGCCTGTAATCAATCCTAGCTACTTAGGATGAGACCTGAGGTTTGTGATTCAAAGCCAGCCTGGGCAGAAGAGTCCCCATGAGACTCTTATCTCCAGTTACCACTCAAAAACCAGAAGTAGAACTGTAGCTCAAAGTGGTAAAGTGCTAGCTTTGAGCAAAAAGAGCTCAGGTTGTTAAAGCCCCAAGACTGACCAAAGAAAAAGAAGATATATCCCAACACACAGGTTATATACTTCACCAAAGTCATGGATGTCACAAATGGTTTTTGAGTCCCTACCCACCTAAAGATGGAAGAAAAGTTCTATTCAATCTTGTGTGTGTGTGTGTGCATCCCAACACTGGTATTTGAATTCAGGGCCTAGAACTGGTTAACTGAAGATAAACCTTTTAGAGATTTTTTCTTTTTCCTTCCTTTTGCCAGAGCTGGCTTTGAACCTCCATCCTCAGATCTCAGCTTCCTGAGTAGCTGCTATGAATACAGGGGAGAGCCACCAGCACCTGGTTTGTTCAATTCGCGCTTAAGGTATATCAAGGTTTGAATTAAAGTCTTCACACTCCACGTGGGCTTTTCGGCTGTTGTTTTGGAATGGAGTCTCATGGACTTTTCTCCTTAGGCTGAATGCAGTCCCCCTCATCTCACCTGTAAGTCACTAGGATTACAGGTGTGAGCCACAGGCACTGGCTTGGAATAATAAATCTTTAAGTTACCCACCCAGGCCAATAGATCAGGCTCTAGAGGTCAATGTAATTCAGTAAATTTCTTCTAACCTTGGGATGGTGACTCTAACCAGTGAGCAATTTCCTGTTCTAGCCCATTATACTTCAATAAAAAAAAATTGTACCTGGGCTGGGAAGGTGGCTCAGTGGTAGAGCGCTTGCCTTGCATGCCTGAGGCCCTGAGTTTGATTCCTCAGCACCACATAAGAAAAAAGAAAAAAGCCGGAAGTGGCGCTGTGGCTCAAGTGGTAGAGCGCTAGCCTTGAGCTGAAGAGCTCAGGGACAGCGCCCAGGCCCAGAGTTCAAGCCCCACGACCAAAAAAAAAAAAAAAAAGTTTAAACATCATTGTCAAGCCAGGTGCTGGTGACTCACACCTATAATCCTAGCTACTCAGGAGACTGAGATCAGATCTGGAGATTGTGATTTGAAGCCAGCCTGGGCAGGAAAGTCCTTGAGATGGGCAAATAGCCAAAGTACAGCTGCGGCTCCAGTGATGGATTACCAGACTTGAATGAAAAGCTAAAGCAAGCAGGTGAGGCTTGAAGTTCTACTACTGGCACACATAAAAAAGAAGATACTGAGCCAGGTACCAGTGGCTCATGCTTATAATCCCACTCAGGAAGACCTGAAGGATTGTGGTTCAAAGCTAGCCTGGGTAGAAATACCTGATATTCTGTCCAGCAACATGTGACTGGAGGCATGGCTCAAGTGGTAGAGCACCAGCTGTAAGCTCAAGGTCATGAGCACGAGGTAGCGGGGAGGGAAAGGGAAGATTGGGATAGGAGAGAGGAGTTGAATGCCAATGGCAAGCTTAGATTTCAAGGTACTGAATTCAAACCCCATTACCAGCAAGAAAAAGAGGGGAGAGGAAAGCAGAGCTGGGTGCCAATGGCTTGGGTATACCAGTGTTTACACCTATAATCCTAGCCACTTGGAAGGCTCTGGTCTGAGGATTGATGTTTGAAGCCAGACAAGGAGTTAATTCCAGGAGACTCACGTGGAGTCACATGCTGGGTTTCTAGCAGGGGAGGTTGATTTGGTCTTAACTGGCTCCCTGTAGCTATATCTATGGTCGTGGGCAAAGGCAGGAGCAGAGCTTAGGAAACTCAGAGGTGTTGATGAGTGCTAGAGGCTTTTCTTTCCCCAGTTGTGGGGTCTGAACTTGGCTTGGGTACTATCTCTGAGCTCTTTTCATTCAAGGCTAATTAGTGCTCTGAGCCACTCCACTTCCAGTTTTTGGTTAATTGGGGACTTGTCCTCCTGGGCTGGCTTCGAACTGAGATCCACAGATCTCAGCCTCCTGAGTAGCTAAGATTAAAAGCGTAAGCCAGGCGCTGGTGGCTCATGCCTGTAATCCTAGCTACTCAGGAGGCTGAGATCTGAGGATCATGGTTCAAAGCTAGCCCCGGCAGGAAAAGTCCATGAGACTCTTATCTCCAATAAACCACCAGAAAACTGGAAATGGTGCTGTGGTTCAAGTGGTAGAGCACTAGCCTTGAGCTGAAGAGCTCAGGGACAGCGTCTAGGCGGAGTTCAAGCACCATGGCCGACCAAAATAACAAAAAAACAAAAATACCCTGTGAATTACCAGCATCCAGCTCCCACTTCTCTGAAGGAGAGTGTGCCCCATCCTTTTCCTCTCCAGGCCTTTGAGCTAGGGTTACCATCCAGGTCCATTCCAGAGCCTCCAGCTTTCTGGTTCTACGACATGAATGAGGTAGCTATGACTAGACAGTGGCTTCAGTCCTTTGGTGGGTGGCGGCCTAGAGCCCTTGAGTCCTTCTCTGAAAAAGCTGCAGTCTCTCCATTGCCTCTCTTGTTCTTTGGAGGACAAAGGGAAGTGGCAAACATTGCTGGAGGAGGACTGGGTTCTATTACCGGCAGTGCAGAGCCAGTGGTCCTGGGTATGGGTGCAGGACTTTTTTCCAGACACGGTTTCAAGATGCAGCTCAGGCTGGTATTGAGCTACTTTTGCTCAGCTTTCTTCTATTGGGCTCAGAGGTAGTGTACCTGGCTGGCAAGCAGGTGCCTCTGTTCTGTATTCCCCTTCTGCTCATCTGAGAAGTGGGCAGGAGGGAATGGATGGGTGGATGAGGCACTTGGCCTGACTCAGGAGCCGCCTGGTGGTGATATGGTGGAGGCATGGGTGGGTGGGGCCCTTGGTAGAACTCCCTTGGCTTCAAGCTGGACTGCAGTAAAATGGGAGCGCAGGGCACCTGAGGTCAGAGGCCTGTGGGTCTCAATAAGCATGGTGGGAGCCATGCATTTTTACAACTTCAGGTTGAGCCAGTCCCAGGCTAAGCCAGGGTTTCGAGAATCACTTGTTTCCTGTCCTGAAGTCAGTGTAGCTGGAGGAAGGGCTGGGACAAATAAAGATTGAGGTGGCAGCGGTGGCGCGGGTCTCTGGGGCAAGCTGGAGGACTGGGTTGAGGCTGTTCAAGCGTTTTGAATGTGCTGGTGTGGATAGGGCAGAATCAAACTCTTGTCAGCCTCCCAAGCAGCGATGGCACAGGGTGGGAATGCAGGGCCCCGAGCTTGGGAATGGAGGGCACCAGTGGCTTGGGTTGTTTCAGGAAGGCATAGGTTAATCCTTTCCAAAGGCAGAGAGGAGCAGCTTGCGGGCAGGTCGCAGGTTAAGGTGTTCTCAGGGGTAGCAGAATGAATGCATCCCAGCACAGGGAACTGCCTGGTAGGGCAGAAGACAGTTACTGGGTCCATCCCTGCTAGTTCCTGAAGGGTTGTATGTAGGTGAATGCAGAGGACAGGTGCAGAGCTATGAACCCTTCTTCCTGCTCCGTCCCCTTTCAGGTCCTTGCCTGAGGATCAACAGAAGGCTGTTCCCTTTTGTTGTCATCTAAAACCCTTTCAAGATGTCCCCTCCATAAGGAGCCATATACCATGTACCTACCCCTGGGGGGCCAGAGGCAGGCACCTGCGAACAGAGGCCGAGAAGGATGACTGTTTATAAACATTTGGAATTTTATTTAAAAAAAAAAAACCAACAAACATCACAACCATGAACATTGTTACAGTTAGAGGCCCTCTGGTTCATCCACAATGATACTGAGCATGCTCACAAGGGTTCCCATTGTTACGTCTTAAACAACCATCTTCAAAAGAAGGGGGGGGAAAAAAAAACTCAGCACACTACCATTTAACTTGTTTTAATGTTTCTCCACAAATGGTGAAAAATACTAAAGTACAGACAAGGAATAATCATAATGTTGTGACCAACATTATAAATATGGAATTATAAATTTAAAACATTTTCTGGTTTAAAAAATAAATCTGGTAGTCAATGCGGCTCTGCGGGCTGTGTCTAATAGGGCCGATCTCTGCGCTCCTGGCGGTGCTCCCCTCTGCAAGGCAAAGGGGGCCCTGTTGGCACTGGGCGGGGCAGGGAGCCCTGCCCCCGCCCCAAGCTCCCCACACCAGTGCCAGATGGATGGGAGCTGTGCGGCACTCCCCCCACCACATACTTATCCATCTTTCCAGGTCCTCCGCGTCCGCCTCTTCTTCCTCCCATCTGTTCCATCAAAGGTCCTGGGGGTCCCCCCGGCCCCCCTCGTCTTCCTCCGCCAAAGCCGCCGCGATCCATGCCACGGCCACCACGAAAGCCGCCTCTGTCTCCACCACGGCCGCCTCTGAACATGCCACCGGGGCCACCGCGGTCCATGAGGCCACCTCTACCCCCCCGCATGCCGCCGGGGCCACCTCTGCCGCGGTCACCACCTGAGGTAGCAAAGGGCGGAGGCAAAATTCCTACCTTAATGGGGAGCTGGGGCTGCCCATGGCTCACAGAAGGCTAGCGAAGGAAGCGTAGGGAACACTCTGGAAAGCTGTACCTACCCGGAGGTGGGAAGGGCGGCGGGAGAAAGCCCTCGGGTTTCGGGGCTTTGCACTGGTTGCACTCTGTTCTCCAGGCGAAGTTCTGGTTTCCACAGCCCCTGCACAAAGTCCCGACAGCACAAGTCACTGAGGAAGTCAGCTGAGCAAAGAGGGACAAAAGGCACCCCTACCGCCCACAGTCCCGGGCACAAACCACCAAGAGGATCTCCTCCATCAAGTGGCTGAGGAGCCTCCGGCAGCGTCCCCACGCAGTCACCAGCAGGCTCTGACCCCCCACCGGGAGTGGTGACACTACCAATCTGTCAAGTGAAGTACATACGGGTTGGGACACTGCCAGTCTCCAGCTCGGTGTTGGACATTGCCTCCTCCAGAAGGGTTCCCCCGGGAACCCCGTGGTCCTCTTGGGGGAAAGCCTCCTCGGTCTCCTCCACGGCCTCCCATGCGACCCATGGGACCCCCTGGACCTCCTGGGCCACCTGGACCTGAAGGAAGAACAAGTGAGCCTCTTTTTTTTTTTTTTGGGTCCGGTTGTGGGGCCTGAATTCTGGGCCTGGGCGCTGTCCCTCAGCTCTTGAGCTCAAGGCTAGCGCTCTACCATTTGAGCCACAGCACCACTTCCGGCTTTTTTCTTTTTGCTTATGTGGTGCTGAGGAATCAAACCCAGGGCCTCATGCATGCAAGGCAAGCGCTCTAGCACTGAACCACCTTCCCAGCCCAAGTGAGCCTCTTTCTAGGAGCAGCTCTGCCACAAGAAACACCAACTAGCCCACAGGCCCCAGCCCCCAGTTTGTTCACTGGACTCGCACACTAGCATTTGGCGTTTTCAGACTGAGGCCAGAGCATAGCAGCCCTGGAGTTCACATAGGCAGGCGGTGAGGTTTCCCGGGGCCAAGAAATCCCTCTTCCCTGTCCTCCACAGGCAGGTGCCGCCCACTTTCACTCGTACAGTCCTGATTCCACACTCCTTATCCACCCCCACGCTAGTGGAGGCCTCAAGGGCAGAAAGCACACTAAATGTGAGCAGCGAGTACCTCCACGCAGTGGTGGTGGCATCCCTCTGCCCTCGCGGGGCGGCATGCCACCCCTCATGCTGTTCACTGGAGGCTTCTTCCGGGCAAGAGAGACTTTAAGTTTGCTCCCTTGGAAATCTTTGCCTGGAAAGAGATGACAGAACATGGGTAAATCCAAGCGCAAGCCCTCCCTGTGAGAGGGGAGAAAACTAGAAGCCCCCTTTCTCACACCCAGCCTCCTGCTAACCCTGATGCCTCTCTCAGAAGGATCAGGCCTGCCCTTCACACCTAAGCATGATGGCGCCCAGCAGCAGGGAGGCTAAGGCAGGAGCTCCGGCTCAAAGCCCTGTATAGTTATACCTTGCAGGAAAAGGGCTGCTGGAGCTCTCACAGCAGTGCTCAGAGGAAATGGAGGCAGTTGAGCCAGCAACATAGATACTTGCAAATAGATTTTGTCAGAAGTGAAATTTCAACAGGGCTTTAACCATGTACACGTTTGCACTCAAATGCACACCGGCTAGGATTTTGTGTGTGTTGCTGAAGACTGGACTGAGCTGAGTGTTAGGTGAGCACCCTTTCATCAGAAGCTTCCAAGGGTATTCTTGGATGTGGGCCCGAAGGACAACCATTTGCAGACTAGGAAAGGGGGAGCTGTGGTTATACCTAGTAAGAGCATCAATCAGGCTCATCTTGTTCCTATGGGCTCTCAAGTTCTTCCTCCTGCTCTGCTCTACATACACAAAGGGAGAGTCCATCTGTCTTTTGTCTTTAAACTTCAGAGGTTGCATTCTAAACATCCAACATTACCAAATGATCATTACTTTTAAGTTGACAAGTACAACTACCATTCCAAGACCCTACATGTGCCTGAGGGAGAAGAGCAAAGAATGCCAGCGGGCACAGCCCTACCATCAAACCACTCCACGGCAGCCTTGGCAGTCGGCGGGTCTTCATAGGATACTGTAGCATCACCTTTGGGCTTCCCTGTTTCCTTGTCCAGGTAGATGTGGATCATGGGTTGTCCAGTTCTCTTGTTCATCTATATACAAAATATCATAGGATGTGACTAATATGTTGAGAAAGTCCCTCAGCAGGCCAAAGCAATCATTTTGTCATAGGAAGCATGCAGGCACAAGGATATTATTATTCAATCACTTGATCAGAATTATGGATGGCTCATACACTAAATCCTAGCCAATAAGGAGGCTGAGATCTAAGGATAATGGTTCAAATCTCCAATTAAGCACCAAACAACTGGAAATAGGACTGCGGCTCAAGTGGTAGAAGACTAGCTTTGAGCAAAGAAAGCTAAGGGACAGTGCCTAGGCCTTGATTTCAAGCCCCAGGACATGTACAAAAATAAAAAATAAGAACAGATCTCCGGAGCTGTTGGCATGATTGGAATACCAGCCATTCAAGAGGCCGAGACCTGTGGACTGGGGTTGGAGACCAGCCTGAGCAGAAAAATCCATGAGACTTTTACCTCCAATTAATAATGGAAGGTAGAACACTCTTTAGCTGAATCCTAATAGTAGTGCAAGTAAGTCTATAATCCTAGCTACTTAAGAGGCTGATGTAGAGGACCCCTGTTCACACATAGCCCAAACAGAAAATGTGAGCATTTGTCTCCAAAATAACCAGCAAAAAGTAGGCTGGAGGCAAGGCTTAAGCAGTACAGCATTAAGCAAGTATGCAAACGACTTTCAAATCCTAGTACCACCAAGAAGTTTGTGTGTCAGTGGGAAGCAAAGTATTCACATAGCAGGATATACGGTATACCAATATTATTCCTTCTAAAAAAGTAAAGTTAAAGGTAAGTAACAAGGAGTTTTGTTTTTTTTTGGTGCTGGCTCTGGGGCTTAAACTCAGGGTCTGAGTACTGACCCTAGCATTTCATCACTTGAACCACAGCAGTACTTCCTCCTTTGGATGGCTTATTGGAGGCGAGGCAAGAATTACATGGAGTGCTGCCTAAGTTGGCTTTGAACCAGGATCCTTAGATCTCGGCCTCCCAAGTAGCTAGGATTCTTCTTTTTTTTTGGTGCCAGTCCTGGGACTTGAATTTTTTTTTTGTTTTTTTTTGGGTCCAGTCATGGGGCCTGAACTCTGGGCCTGAGCGCTGTCCCTTAGCTCTTCAGCTCAAGGCTAGCGCTGCTACCTCTTGAGCCAAAGCACCACTTCCGGCTTTTTTCTTTTTGCTTATGTGGTGCTGAGGAATCGAACCCAGGGCCTCATGCATGCAAGGCAAGCACTCTACCACTGAGCCAACTTCCCAGCCCCAGTCCTAGGAGTTGAATGTAGAACTTGGGCATGGTACCTTCACTTTTGTGCTCAAGACTAGTGCTCTACTATTTGAACCACAGCTCCACTTCCAGCTTCTATAGTAGAGTAGCTAGGATTAAGAGGTGTAAGCTACCAACTCCTTGCTGTTTCTGTCATTTATTCAGGTATATAATGTTTAGTTAAGAAGTAGCCGGGCGCCGGTAGCTCACGCCTGTAATCCTCGCTACTCAGGAGGCTGAGATCTGAGGGTCACAGTTCAAAGCCAGCCCGGGCAGGAAAGTCCATGAGACTCCTATTTCCAATAAACCACTAGAAAACCGGAAGTGGCGCTGTAGCTCAAGTGGTAGAGCGCTCGCCTTGAGCTGAAGAGCTGAGGGACAGAGCCCAGGACCAGTTTAAGCCCCAGGACCGACCAAAAAAAAAAAAAAAAGTAGCAGCCGTGCTGGGGCTGGGAAGGTGGCTCAGGGTTAGAGCACTTGCCTTGCATGCTTGAGGCCCTGGATTACATTCTTCAGCACCACATAAGCAAAAAGAAACGGAAGTGGCTCTGTGGCTCAAGTGGTGGAGTGCTAGCCTTGAGCTGAAGAGCTGAGGGATAGTACCCAGGCCCAGAGTTCAGGCACATGAATGGACTCCCCCCCCACCAAAAGTAGCCGTGCTACCAATTTTTAAAATATGAAGTGTAGCTCAAGTGGAAGTGTAGCTGTCTAAGACCCTAAGTTTAAACCCTAGTATTGTCAAAAAAATTTGAAAGCAAAAGTTTTTTTCAATACTATGTCCTTAGCCTGGTACTGGTTGCTCACATCTATGGTTTGAAGCCAGCTTGGGCATGACTCATATTTCCAATTAATCACCAAAAAGCATTCACTATGCATTCATGTGCTAAAAATTTTATACAAAGTTATGCCAAAATCAATTGTGCAATTTTTTTTTGTTTTTGGTGGCATTGACATTTGAACTCAGGGCTTCAGGCTAACTAAGCTGGCCCTGAAATTAAAAATTAGATGGAGTTAACAAGGAACTAGGTTTTGAAGATGTTCAAATTCAGGAGTCCATAAACTGCTGAGGGCAGATGATCACACAAACTGAACAAAACTTAGCTGGGCGCTGGTGGCTCACCACCAGCCTGTAATTCTAGCTACTCAGGAGGCTGAGATCTGAGGGTCATGGTTCAAAGCCAGCCCGGGCAGGAAAAGTCCTTGAAATTCTTATCTCTAATAAACATCCAGAAAACCAGAAGTGGCATTGTGGCTCAAGTGGTAGAGCTCTAGCCTTGAGTTGAAGAGCTCAGGGACAGCGCCTATGCCCAGAATTCAAGCCCCCTGACTAAAAAAAACCAAAACAACAACAACAAACTTGCATAGATGAAACTCAATAAATGCAGCTACAACAGTCAATATACATGGGGAAGACGGAGAGGAAACATAGGCAAACCATTAAGGAATCAATTGGTTAAGGCAGCACTGTGGCTCAAATGGTAGAATGCTAGCCTTGAGCACAAAGAGGCTCAGGGCCAGCACCCAGACCCCAAATACAAGTTCCACAACTGACAAAAAAAAAAAAAAGAAAAGAAGGGGCTGGGAAGGTGGCTCAGTGGTAGAATGCTTGCCTTGCATGCCTGAGGCCCTGGGTTCGATTCCTCAGCACCACATAAGCAAAAAGAAAAAAGCCGGAAGTGGCTCTGTGGCTTAAGTGGTAGGGCACTAGCCTTGAGCTGAAGAGCTGAGGGACAGCGCCTAGGCCCAGAGTTCAGGCCCACGACCAGACCAAAAAAAAGAAAAGAATATGGTCACACAAAAATAAGGCATAGCTGGGCTCATATCTATAATCCTAGCTACTCGGGAGGCTGAGATCTGATGATCACTGTTCAAAGCCAGCCAGGGAAAGAAAGTCTACAAGACTCTCAGATCCAATTAACGACACAAAAACCAGAAGCAGCACAGTAGCTCAAGTGGTGGAGCACTTGCCTTGAGCTGAAGAGTTCAGGGATAGGGCCTAGGCCCCAGACTTCAAGCCCACTACCAACAAAAAAGTGCATAAACAGAAGATATTTACAAAACACATGGAGCAACATCAGGAAATAGTGGTACCAGAAGTCAATGAAAGATAACCCAATGAAAATTGAGCATAAGACAAACAGGCATTCCAAAGCAAAGGTATATACTCATTAACATCAACTTATTAATTTCAAAATTACTCCTCCTAGCATTTTCATGGTCATCCACAGGCACAGAGTGGCAATAATTGAAACCTCAGCTCTGAGACCATTTAAGACATCTGTAGGTGGAGCCTTAGGTGTACTCACAGTGTATTTATAAATCCAATGTGCTATCTGTGCTTGTTAAGTAGAATACGGAATTCCCAAATTTTGGGTTACTGACTTAAGCATCTTCCTACCTTAAGCTCTTTCTATACTTTTCTTGATTTTCTTCTGCAACACCTTGCATGTAACACACAAATTATTTCTTTTTTGGGGGTGGGGAAGGACAGTCCTGGGGCTTGAATTCAGGGTCTGGGCACAGTCACTGAGCTTCTTTTGCTCAAGGCTAGTGCTCTACCATTTGAGCCACAGCGCCATTTCCGGCTTTTTCTGCTATGTGGTGCTGAGGAATTGAACCCAGGGCCTCATACATGACAGGCAAGTACACTACCACTGAGCCACCTTCCCAGCCAAGAAAATTTTTTGTCAGTTGTGGGGCTTGAACTCAGGGCCTAGGTGTTGTCCCTGAGCTTCTTTGTGTTCAGGGTTAACACTCTACAACTTGATCCACAGAGCCACCTCTAGTTTTTTTTTTTGGGGGGTCCGGTTGTGGGGCCTGAACTCTGGGCCTGGGTGCTGTCCCTTAGCTCTTCAGCTCAAGGCTAGCGCTCTACACTTGAGCCACAGCACCACTTCCGGCTTTTTTCTTTTTGCTTATGTGGTGCTGAGGAATCGAACCCAGGGCCTCAGGCATGCAAGGCATGTGCTCTACCACTGAGCCATCTTCCCAGCCCCACCTCTAGTTTTTTAAACCACAATCCTCAGATCTCAGCCTCCTGAGTAGCTAGGATTACAGATGTGAGCCACTAGCACCCAGCTGAGGAAAAAAAAATTGCCAAGCAAGAGTGCAAGACGCTGAGTTCAAGACCCAGTACTTATGTCTGTATATCCCTGCAAACACATGCACACACATGCACACACACACACACACATATATATCTTATGCTGTTTATGTTCACAAAGTAGTATTCATATAAGAATTTTTAGTTGATAATTATAAAAAAAAAACCTTAGGTTTTTGACTATGTTAATGTGCTTGGCATTTTGTTCCTATCACAAAATGGCTAGTAGATAGGTGCCAATAACTCATGCACTATCCTAAGTATGCAGGAGGCTAAGACACGGACAGTGGAGGTTCAAATCTAGGCTTGGCAGAAAAGTCGAGACTCCATCTTCAATTAATTAACAAAATGGTTGGGCTGGGAAGGTGGCTCAGTGGTAGAGTGCATGCCTTGCATGCCAGAGGCACTGGGTTCGATTCCTCAGCACCACATAAGCAAAAAGAAAAAAGCCGGAAGTGGTGCTTTGGCTCAAGGGGTAGCAGCGCTAGCCTTGAGCTGAAGAGCTGAGGGACAGTGCGCAGGCCCAGAGTTCAGGCCCCATGATCAGACCCCCCCCCAAAATAAATTAACAAAATGGTAAGCTGAAAGCATAGCTCAAGTAATAAAAGTACTAAGTGTGAGTAAAAAAGCCAAGCCCGAGCACAAGGCCAAGTTCAAGCCCTAGTACTTTCACTAAAAACCAAAGCCACCCCTAACCCCTCACACCCAAAAGAACAAAAAACTACTGCTACCACAACAAAATTAGCTAGTTTTTCTATTTTTTTTTTTGGATGGGGTCGGTCCTGGGGCTTTAACATCTGGCTTTCAAGTCATTAATTGGAAGTTAAGAGTGACGGGGGCGGGGGGGGGGGGGGGGGGTGTTGTTTTTTTTTGGGGGGGGGGGGGGGGGGGGGGGGGGGGGGGGTGAGGGGAGGCGCGGGGCTGGGAAGGTGGCTCAGTGGTAGAGTGCTTGTTTTATATGCATGAGGCCCTGGGTTCTATTCCTCAGCACTAGGAAAGCAGAAAAAGCTGCAAGTGGCATGCTAGCCTTGAGCTGAAGAGCTCTAGCCTTGAGCTGAAGAGCTCAAGGATAGCACCTAGGCCCAGAGTTCAGGCCCCACGACTTACACAAACAAACAAAAGTGTTTCTCTGCCTGGGCTGGCTTCAAATGTGATCCTCAGAACTCAACCTCTTGAGTAACTAGGATTACACTGGTGGTAGTACTGGCGTTTGGCTCAGCTCGTTTTTCAAGGGGAGTGTTTTCCTCCCTTTTGTGGTGCTGGAGATTGTATGGTATATGCAAGCACTCTACCACTGAGATACCATTGCCAATGGTCATTTTTTGGAGACAGGATCTCACTTTGTAGCCCAGATCAATCTTGAACTTGCAGTCCTCCTGCCTCTATCTCCTGAATGCTAAGATTACAGGTATGTGCCACATGCAGGAGAGGATTTTAAGGAATTAACAAGCTGTCCAGAAAGAAACCAGAAAACTTTAGAAACAATTCTTAATGTGAACTGAATCTCTTTTGAAGTGTTGTATAGTCTAATTTCTGCCAGATCAACCAGTTGTGCTTTACTTACCTTAACAATCCCACACTGTTTAAAGAAGTCTGCTAGATCATCAAGAGTCACGTTGTCATTTAATCCTTGCACATAAATTGCACTGTTGTCAGAGTCTTCATCAGGATCTATAGGAGGGCCTTCCAGAAAACAAAAGACAGAAAGGAGTGACTACTGCAATTGGAGGTGTTTTTTTTTTTTTTGAGACAGGGTCTATGTAGCCTAGGCTGCCTCAATCTCACCATCTCCTGCTCAGACTTGGTTCCAAGGCCTAAGATAACTTTTTGTTTTTTGTCAGTTGTGGCGTTTGAACTTAGGGCCTTAGTGCCACCTCTGAGCTCTTTTGCTCAAGGTTAGGATTCTGCCATTTTGAGCCATAGTTATACTTCTGGTTTTCTGGTGGTTATTGGAGAAGAGTTTTGTAGACTTTCTTTCCTGGGCTGGCTTTGAACCACCATCCTCAAATCTGAGCCTCCTGATTAGGATTATAGGCATGAGCTACTAATTCCTACCTCTGAGATTACTTTTACTGGGGATTGAACCCAAGGCCTTGCACTTATAGGCAAAGCATTCCACCACTTGATCTATATCCCTCTCTCCCTCCCACAAAGGCTCTGGACTCCATCTTGCCAAGCGCCTGCCTCAGCAGTCTGAGCCCCAGGGTAACAGGTCTGGTACAATCACTTAGAAGTTAAAGAATTCAAAATTACCTAGATCAAGATCTGGTCCTTCATCCATGGGTCCTGCCAACCAGGAAAGATCATACAAAATCCTGTTAGTGCACGTCTTGCAAGCTATAAACCTTACAAACACACACAGCTATCTACTATACCACCATTTGATGGGGATTCATTAAATTCAAAATGACCCACACTGCTAAAATGGAGCAGTGCCTCTTTAACATCTGTGCAAAGTTTCTAGGGTTTGCTTTTTTTTCTTTGCTGGTTTGCTTCTAAACCATTAACCAAATACACTTTTAATGCTTATGTGCCAAATTAGTGTTAAATTTTTTAAGTCAAATTTTTTCCTCCAAATAAACCAAATTTAAAAACTGTACTCTCCCCCATATTACAGAAGCAGTTGCTCAATACTTCAAGTTACCCTTTGTTTTGTAACCATAGGTTAACCTTATTACCCCTAAGACAATGCCGGCAGTACCCATTAGTCTCTTTTGTATAGATCATTTTTAAACCGCTATGAAACTAATAAAAATTATAGTTTTCTAATAACTGACTGTATTTTTTTAAACACTATCCATGGTAATACTCAAAAACTTACCACCAGGCTTATTGAAGCCACCTCGCTCTCCAGCGCTGCTGGGGGGATAAACGAAGAAATGAAGGCCTTTCCCTTTAAAAGCCAGTACCGCTCTGAGCCTTGGGGGGGCTCGTGGGGAAGAAGGGCACTGGCTAAACACATCTCCAAACAATGCATCTCTCTCATCTTGTCACTATGCCTTTCTTCAGGGCAGCTTGCTCAAATTTCCTTAATATACAACCTTGCTTGTCTGATTGGATACACCAGTGTGGTTGGTTCCTTTCATTTCGGGGGCTGGTATTAATAGTGCAATACTTGGCAAATTAGGGAGGAAAAACTAGATCCCAACCCCCACCCCCATTAGCTGAAAACCCAGGAGAAGAGGAACAAGCAGAGGGAAACAGCTTTCCATATTCATAAAGGTGCACCCTCAACCTCTCCCAGGGGAGAGCCAAATGAGGCCCTGGACTTCCTAACAAGGCACAGTATTCTAAGCAGGAGACAACCACAGTAAATGCTACAACACACATCAGAGGACGCGTCCAGCCAGTCTTCAGCACAAAGCCATACAGTTGAGGACCCTAATGGACTTAACAATCGCTGTGAAAGGAGAATTTACAACAAATACCAAGGCTTAACGGTCTGGGGGTGCAACTTTATAGACATATCAGTTAAGAATAACTATGGCAGTATTAAAGTCACATATTTAAAAACTGTAAAGAGGGGAGGGGGAATATGAATTGGGCTTTTTTGGTTAGACTATTTTTTAAGGAAAAAAACAAAACAAAGCAAAACATTAAATAAAGGCAGTTCCCTACAGGGAAGCCCAGTTTGTTCTAACCAGTATTGCACCTTTAATACCTGAATATACAATTTCAAGCTGTTGCATGCAGCTTTGTTTCTTTTTTTAAAATTACACACCATAAAATGTTCTCTCTCTTTAAACACAAAAGTTTACACTTTAATGTTATACAATTCTAGAGTATTATAACTCCTCTGGTTCATTATTACCAAACAACAAGTATGCAGTTACCAAAGTTACAGAAGGATTCCATTTATACAATGAATACATTTTGTTAAAAATATTCTATGTATATTTTTCCTCTCCATATGGACACCGTGTCTAGTCCCACTTTTCATTATGCTGCCGGCTGAGTACTGAGTACGGGTACTTTTTAAGTATTGAAGTGTATACAAGGCTCTCACTTTGTAACCTGTAGCATATAAATGCGACAAAGCATGTTAAAAAGTTTCCACGTTTAACAGCCAATGAAAATATCAAAATATTGAGGCAATGAAAAAGGGCATGTTAACAACATTGAGTGCCTTACCTGCTGAAGACACTGAAAACCATCACCACACCACAATAAAAAGGGGAAGGGGAATGGCCCTGGCATATCCCCCCAGGATTCACCAGACTGCTTTCACAGTCTGTTGAAAACCTATGGGGAAGGTCATGGTCTCTTCTATGGATCCAGGAGAGACTTCTCATCCAGAAAGAGGGCCCCCTCTAATAGTCTAGCAAAATCAGTACAATCATTACTTGTGGAGTATTGAAATGAATAAACTTGAAATTATTTTTGTAATTGAAAAATACTGAGAATTCTAGGTGATTTGAGACGTGATGATAGTAATTTCAAGTGTCTATGTCTATTTTAACCCATAAAGAAGTGAAACCTTTATAATGGAATGATAATTCTCCAAATGGGAAGACTGACTTTATATCAAATTATTCATAATTTTTGCATGTTCTGAAATTATTTTCTTCCAATAAAGATTTCACCAAAGACTTATTTTTTAAAGTTATACAGAATATGTAAGACAGTATTATTGTTAAACAGTGAAGATTTGCAATAATTCAAGGATCAACTTTTTATCATTAATTTTACAATGTTTCTGTGCAAAAATGCTATTCAATTTTTCCTTGAACAGTGGATATCAAGTTCAATTTATACTTGACATTCTGCATAACTTTTTTTTTTTTACTAGTTTATATAGGGACAGAACACACACAGAACTAAACTTTCTGGATTATGTTAACCACCAACATTATACCTCACCTTCATCAAGTACAGACCAGGAAGGGAAGAGGGAATGGGAGGAGGGAAGGGAACAGAAGGGAAGGGATGGGAAGGGCAGAGGTAAGCAGGGTCATGTTATTGATCTAACAAGTTTTCTAAACCAGATTGTACCATCAATCAGAATGGCCAAACCGATTTAGACTTTAAAAATCTCCAATGAGGAGCAATTCCATATTTTATAAACATTACTCTGCAAAGAAACTACTTTGAATTTTCTGTGCTCCAACCAAACTCTATGCACCAGGTGTATCTTAGGCCAAAGTTTACGGCTATGGGACCAAAACCTTCTATAATTATGCTCAACAATTCTGAGTATCAACAGAAGTTGGGGACAGACATTGTGGAAAACAGCTGCAATTCTTTTCTGCAGTATATACACCAGGTATGGCAAGAAGACAACCACTCAGGCATTAGTTAAAAACTTAAGGGTGTTAGAAAAGTTGTGTGTGTTCCATCCCAATCTATTACCCACAGAGGGTTTCCACCTCTGAAAAATCACGAAGGGAACTGAAAGCTCTAGTTTCAAAACCATTCTTTGTTTTCCCCAACCCAACAAAGTACTTGGCAGGGAAAAAAAGCAAACTGCCACTTAGTAGTATATATGCCGCAAAGATGACATTTCCATGATTTAGAAAACGGCTTGGGCTCTACAGATTGTCCATGGAAATGCTGAATAAAATTTATGTCTTTCAGTCCCTTCTTGCCACTGAAAATCCTATGGATGAAACAAAATTAGGTAAAAGGAGAAAAGGTTTGCTCTTACCCCATTCCACCGCGTCCTCCTCCCCGCCCACCTCTGCTCATGCCTCCACGATCAAATCCCCCTCTTCCCCTGCCCCGGTTATCAGGGCCACTCATGCTCCGGTTTTCTCCTGGTCCGGAAAATCCTCCAGACTCCTGCCCATAAACACCCATGCTACTGGGGTGGTCCTGTCGGAATGAACCTGAGGAAAAATTCACATCTGTAAGCCACAGATCAGCATTTACACACCTTACCTTTCTGATACACTTTTGCCTGGAATTCTAGGACTCTCAAATACAAGGTACTACCTTCTTTACATCACAGTAAAAACATACTTTTTTTTTTTTGGGGGGGGAGGGGGGTGTTGAGATGGAGTGAGTGACAAAGTCTTAACCAGACCAGGCAGGCCTTAGCCTTCCAAGTGCTAATATTACAGGTGTGTACCACTATGCCTGGTACCAGGCTCTTGAAAGTTTAACAAAACTATGGCTCATTAAGGCTAAACAAAACCTTAGAATACACCACTTTCAAACAACAGACAAGTCTTCTGGCCATATATATACATGGGACATATACATACATATATATATATATATATATTAGACTACACTGAGGAAACTAGAGCTCAGTTTTTTAGAACCTCAGCAGGTTGCTAAGGAATGGGCTCCATCAAGGAGCACTACTTACAAAACATGCCCACAGTAGGAAAATAATAGTTCTAGATTTCCAGTTACTTTTTTATACACAAGAACTACAAGTATTGGGGCAGAGCTCAGCTGTATAGACTGGCAGCTTGTGCAAGGCCTTGAGTCCACTCCTTGGCACCAACTCTACTAAAATTAAACTTCAGCCAGGCACTGTAATCTTATTCAGGAGGCTGAGATCTGAGGATCATGGTTCAAAGCCAGCCTGTGCAGAAAAGTCCATGAGACTCATCTCTGATTAACCACCAGAGAACTGAAGTGGGATTGTGGCTCAGAGTACTAGCCCTGAACAAAAGTCTCAAAGGATAACACCCAGACTCTGAGTTCAAGACCAACCAAAAGAAACACACAAAAAAATATCCCCTCAAAAAACAAAACACCAAAAGAACCAACCAAATGAAGCCAGGCAACCGCACCGGTGCCTCATGCCTGTAATCCTAGCTACTCAGGAGGCTGAGATCTGAGGATCACAGTTCAAAGCCAGCCAGGGCGGGAACGTCCGTGAGACTCTACCACTAGGAAAACCGGAAGTGGTACTGTGGCTCAAGCAGTAGAGTACTCGCCTTGAGTTGAAGAGTGCAGGGACAGTGCCCAAGCCCAGAGTTCAAGCCCCATGACCGACAAAAACAAAAAACAAACCAAATGAAACCAACAAATGAACAAAAGCAAAAACAAAACAACAACAAAAACAAGTATTCTGTGAAGAAAATTTTTTGTTTTGCCTATGTGTTTTGGGGTTTTGGCTACCAAAGTCATACGGCTTTCTGTAGCTGCCTGCCAATTCTGTTAATGACTTTTTGGGTGGGCAGGCCGTAAAGAATGCTGGTCACTCTTCACCCCCGTATAAGAACGCCTGCTTCACTCACTGCATACAACCTGCCAAAGAGATCAAGACTAGCAGGCAATGTCTAATAGGGCAAAAAATGCTATCTCTTTTCTTTTGCAGTATGGCACATTAGCAACAACTAAATTGAAGCACACGCTCCATGTTCAGAGACTTCAAGCACAATCATTATTTGTTTTTCTCTCTTAGCAACTCACTCTGCTGCCCGTAGCTGCTGCTCTGTTGGCTATATTGACTTGGAGCCTGGCTGTAAGATCCAGTCTGGGGGGGGTAACTAGTGGGAGGCTGCTGCCCATAGCTGCTTTGTTGACCATAGCTACTCTGTTGTCCATAGCTGCTTGGCTGCCCATAGGTGTTCTGCTGAGAGTAACTGCTCTGATCATAACTGGTCGGTTGTGTAGAGGAATAGCTGGAAAAAAAAAAAACAACGAGAGGTTAGATTGTGAGAACAAGCTCCTGAATATGAGATATTTACAGGTGTCACATTCCTATTTTACCATAGCAAGTCCCCACCCTCCACTTGAAAGACTAGCACATTTGGGATATGCTTCCTGTAAGAAAGAATGTATACATGTGCATTTAGGAAAGGCTAACCCCCACAAAAAAAAGCATTGAGAAAAAGTAGGAGGATTTAAGAAGAAGTTTCAAGACTACATCCAATTTTTTGGGGGGGTCAGTTGTGGGACTTAAACTCTGGGCCTAGGTGCTGACCCTGAGCTCTTCAGCCTAAGGCTACGGCTACCACTTAAGCCACAGTGCCACTTCTAGTTTTCTGTAGGTAAAAGTCTCAGACTTTCCTGCCTGGACTGTCTTTGAACTATGATCCGCATTATTATTTATTTTTTTTTTTGTCAGTCGTGGGGCTTGAACTCTGGGCTTGGGTGCTGCCCCTGTACTCTTCAGCTCAAGGCGAGCGCTTTACCACTTGAGCTACCATGCCACTTCCAGTTTTCTATTGGTTTATTGGAGATAAGATTCTCATGGAGTTTCTTGCCCAGGCTGGCTCTGAACCGCGATCCTCAGATCTCAGCCTCCTGAGTAGCATGAGCCACCGGTGCCCAGCTATGTATTTTTAATTTTAACTTAAAAACATTATTATAAAGGCAATGTACAGAAGGGTTATAGTTACATAAGTGAGGCACATTTCTTTTTGGACAGTATCACCCCTTCTCCCTCACTCTCTCCCAGTTTTTCCATCTTGTCCCCACCCACAAGTTGTGTAAGTTCATTTCCAATGTATTGTGTAATGAGTATAACTGTTGCACTCCAATACTTTTTTTGTGTGATACTGAAGTCTGAACTCAAGGGCCTTATGCCTGCTGAGAAGGTACTCTACCACTTGTACCAAGCCCCTAGTGCTTTCTGCTTTATTTTTTGAATAGGGCCTTATGTTTATACTAGCCTGGACAGTAACTCTCCCATCTCTACCTCCTGAATAGCTGGCATTACAGGCAATGAGCCATCGCAACACACTCATCTTACATTCATTTCTTTATTGGTGCTAGTCCAGACACCAGCCTGGGAGCTGTCCCTGAGCTTTTTTGCTCAAGGCTAGTGCTTTACCACTCAGACCACAGATCCACTTCTGGTTAATTAGAGGTATGAGTCACATAGACTTACCCATGCTCAGTCTTTAAACCACAATTCTCAGGTCTCAGCCTCCTGCATAGGCATGAGTCAACTGGTACCTGGCTCACTTACTTTTAAACCCTCATCAGAGTATGTCAACTTAGGTCATCTTACAAATATCAAACACACACACAAGCATAGAAAAACTTCTTAAAATCTATCCTAGTCTTGTTCAAGATGGTGCATCTTTGTCATCACAACCTGTTCTGATCTTGACCTCATCCTTTGTCAATCTGCTTTATTTATTTATTTTTGGGTCCAGTCGTGGGGCCTGAACTCTGGGCCTGGGCGCTGTCCCTCAGCTCTTCAGCTCAAGGCTAGCGCTCTACCACTTGAGCCACAGCACCACTTCCGGCTATTTTTTTTTTTGCTTATGTGGTGCTGAGGAATAGAACCCAGGGCCTTGAGCATGCAAGGCAAGCGCTCTACCACTGAGCCACCTTCCCAGCCCCCCCCCCCGTTTTTTTAAATTGGCTGTGGGGCTTCAACTCTGGGCCTGGGCGCTGCCCCTCAGCTCTTCAGCTCAAGGAGAGTGCCCTACCACTTGAGCTACGTCACTTCTGGTTTTCTGGTGACTAACAGGAGATAAGAGTCTCATGGCGGGGCTGGGAAGGTGGCTCAATGGTAAAGCACTTGCCTTGCATGCTTGAGGCCCTGGGTTTGATTCCTCAGCACCCATAAGCAAAAAAAAAAATAGCCGGAAGTGGTGCTGTGGCTCAAGTGGTAGAACGCTAGCCTTGAGCTGAAGAGCTGAGGGACAGCGCCCAGGCTCAGAGTTCAGGCCCACGACTGGACCCAAAAAAAAACAAAAACAAGAGTCTCATGGCCTTCCTTGCCCTGCCTAGGCCGGCTCTGAACTGTGATCCTCAGATCTCAGCCTCCAGAGTAGCTAGGATTACAGGCATGGGCTACTGGTGCCTGGCTTTGCAAATTTATCTTATAAGTCTCTCTAAGGGACCAGAATAAGGCAGAGATGTGGATGCACCACTCCCAAATGTTTAGAGTAACTGGCCAGTTATCTCCCACCACCCATGAAGTAAATGAGAATCCCAAATACCAAGGGAAGAAATCCAGGAGTCTTCACTACCACTTAAGTCCCAACAGATTATGCCACAGCCACAGCTGAGTGACCTATAGCTATTTTTTTAAACAAAGCCCCACGAATCAGTAGATAGCCCAGAAAGTATGTGGAAATACTGGTTTCTTCACTGAATTAAATGGGCCACAAGTTCCCGCTTTCCAATGGAAAAGGGACTAGCTGCCAGTGATCAGGAAACAGCTGTTTTAAAGTGGTTAAGTCTGAAGATTAAGGAAAAAAGAACAAAAAAAAGGATGACTTCTCAAAAACCATTTCACATATAAAACTCTCCAGCAATGACAAACTGTTGTATGAAAGCAATACATGGGACCCTACATATTGGTTAACATTATCAAACCCCTAATCAACTGAAAGGGAGCTCTTCTACGAATCAGCCAGTTAGCTTAATATAACTACCATACAGGCTGTCAATATTAGGTGTAAACTATTAAGTGGCTTCAATTACTCACTGTGCATTTTAGAAGTAATTTCACGACTGTTTGCCAGAGCTAATTTCTTACCTCTATAGCTGATAAAAACTCTAGGTTACAAGTTGATCTTGTTTATTCCCTAAAAAGTCTTCATTCAAATCAGAATTCAGTATTCCTTCAAGACTGTATGCAGAAGCCACCTAAGGGCATTGTCTAAAGCAAAGACCTGAAATCTTCTGTTAAGTAATAATACATACTATTTATGTGCTTACCAGTCATGGGGCATGAGTTTTGTTGGACTTAATGTTCACTCCATGGCTGGATAGCCAGTTAAGAATTTATATTCGCCTATGTTCTTTACGTTTATCAAGTCTCTACATAATATAGACCAAAAGATATTAAATGTGTCAGCTAATACTTGACTTCTTAAATATGGATATAACCTTTACTGATAATTGGGTCACAGGACTGTATCATGACTCCCATGATGCTACCCTCCCTCTTGCACTGTGAACTACATCCATGCTTTTCCCAGGGAAAAAGCTGTTATCCATTTACAGACTCAATAAACCAAAGATAAAAATATGCAGAGCATACTTCATTTCTTTCTGAATTTAGAAAAGTAAAAACAAAATAGAAATAAGATAAAGCAAAATAAAAATAAAAAGTAAAAAGTCTCCTCTTTCTCCCCAAAACAGGTTCTGCAAGCAATCTACTGAGTGGCATTCTTCATTTTGGGCCTTGGATGGCACCATTTTAATGATTAATGGAGAATACCTTTGTGCTGTCTTCCAGCACACTTTTTTTCTGAAATGACAGTAAAACCACAATCAACACTTAAAAATATGACAGTAACTATTAAAAGGGAGCTAAAGTTTATGTATACAGTTGCTCTTTCTCTCAAATCCAAAGCTGATTGATCATTTAGGAACAAGTGAACGAGGCCTTACCTTGCAGGTGCAGCGGCAGCCGGCTGCTGCCCATAGGTTGGGTAAGCAGGCTGAGTGCCATATGCAGACTGAGCTGCATAGGAGGCCTGAGTGGTGGTGACTGTAGCAGTGGTGGTGTCATAAGCACCTGTGCCATACCCCTGGACAGGCTGGCTGTATGCCTGGGGGGCAGTTGGAGTAGTATAACCTAGGACAAAAGAGAGCTGGATCAAATATCTGGCCCCTCAGAGATCTGCCTAAATATTTGTTAATAGAATAATCTGTAAACCAGCCACTTTAAAACACAAGATTTAATCCCTGTAAAAATCTTCCCTTCAGTAAGAGTTGCAACAAACCAGTATTTAAAGCCTGAGTCCTTTGACAACTGTTTTCAGTAAAGTACTACCTCACTAGCTTTCAAACTGCACCTAACAGAAAAGAGGAAAAAGCATGCTATAGAAAACGGTTGCTACAGATATCAGGCTTCCTCTGCCCTCTTTAACATGCAGAGTAGGAGACAGGACTACCTTTTTCACTGATTTGGCAGATTTGTTGAGAAGGCTGCCTTAAATTTCTCAGTAATAAATTACTTCCAAAAACCTTCAGTATGGGCTGGGAAGGTGGCTCAGTGGTAGAGCGCTTGCCTTGCATGCATGAGGCCCTGGGTTCAATTCCCCAGCACCACATAAGCAAAAAGAAAAAAAAGCCGGAAGTGGTGCTGTGGCTTAAGTGGTAGAGCACTAGCCTTGTGCTGAAAGCTGAAGGACAGCACCCAGGCCTAGAGTTCAGGCCCCACGACTGGACCCCCCCCCCAAAAAACCCAAAAACTTCAGTATGGGCTGGGAATGTGGCTTAGTGGTAGAGTGCTTGCCTAGCATACATGAAGCCCTGGGTTCGATTCCTCAGTACCACATACACAGAAAAAGCCATAAGTGGTGCTGTGGCGCAGTGGTAGAGTGCTAACCTTAAGCAAAAAAGCTCAGGGACAGTGCCCAGGCTCTGAGTACAAGCCCAGAATTGGCACAAAGCAAAACCAAACCTTCAGCAGGAAATCAAATGTTCCAAAAAGGCAGATAAAAAGCAAGTAACATAGCATTTTAAAATAGTTACAAAATGGGCTGGGAATGTGGCTTAGTGGTAGAGTGCTTGCCTAGTATGCATGAAGCCCTGGATTAGATTCCACAGAACTATATAAACAGAAAAGGCTGGAAGTAGCGATATGGCTCAAGTGGTAGAGTACTACCCTGGAGGCAAAAGAAGCTCAGGGACAGTGCCCAGACCCCGAGTTCAGACCCCAGGACTGACAAATAAAAAAGCTACAAAATAATGACCTAGGTACTACTTTAAGCAATATTATCTATAATGTGGATACTAATCCATTACTTTCTCAGCTCTTCAGGCTCAAGGCTAGTGCTCCACCACTTGAACCACAGCACCACTTCCCATTTTCTGGTGGTTTACTGGAGGTAAGAGTTTCACGGCCTTTCCTGCCGAGGCTGGCTTTGAACCACAATCCTTAGATCTCAGCCTCCTGAGTAGCTAGGATTACTGGAGTGAGCCAAGGGCGCCAGGCTAATCCATTACTAAGACAAGGGTTTTGTTTTTGTTGGTCGTGGAACTTTCAGGGCCTGGGAGCTGTCCTTGAGCTTTTCTGCTCAGGGCTAGCTCTCTATCACTTTGAGCCTCAATACCACTTCCCAGTTTTCTGATGGTTATTGGAGATAAGAGTCTCAAGGATGAAAATTGCCTGCCCCGGGCTGACTATGAACTGTGATCCTCAGATCTTAGCCTCCTGAATAGCTAGTATTACGGGTGAGAGCCACCAGCACTCAGCTCTAAAACAGGGTTTTATTATTCAGACTAGACTGATCTCAAACTCTACCCTCTTGCCCCAGTGTCTGGAGGACAGGTATGAGCATGTGCCACCAGCATGGCTTCACATGTAATTACTTTATTTCAGACCTATACACTGCTCCACAAAGCACTTTATGTGTAATTTAAGGAAACAATTCTAGAGAACATGTGTTTAATTTTCAGTGACTTATAACATTTGATTGAACATTGAGGAAATAGCCCTTAAAAATACTTGCTACCAGAGCTTAGGTTAAAATAACATGAATAACTGAAAATATACTATGAATTATATTTGCTTCATCAATAGACTATCCTATTTAACTTTTTCAAGATGCTGGACTGGTTATCGAGTTATCCAGCTCCATTTGTCTTACTTACCCACCAAAAGCAAAAGTGCCTTTTTCTTGCACAGTAATATTGAGGTGAACCCTCAAGTCCTTCTTCAGTTTTTTCCTACCTAGGTATCAGGTACCAAAGACCTGTTCTCACAAGTATTTTACAAGCTAAGTTCTTTTCTGAAATAGTTGTCATAACCTTGATTGGCACTGGGTTCTTGCCTTCCCACGCACAAATAAGACCCCTAAGCAGAAGTAAATTGATGTTATCAGGATTCACACCCAAAGTGGAAAAGGGATCCAATTCTCACTAAAGTACAAAAAAGGTAAGGCTTTGAGTTCAATGCAGTACTCCTATTACAAAATAAAATGTGTTCCAGGGCTGGGAAGGTGGCTCAGTGGTAGAGTGTTTGCCTTGCATGCATGAGGCCCTGGGTTCAATTCCTCAGCATCACATAAACAGCAAGTTACTGTGGCTCATGTGGTAGAGTGCTAGCCTTGAGCTAAAGAGCTGAGGGACAATGCCCAGGCCCAGAGTTCAAGCCCCATGACCGACAAAAACAAACAAACCAATTGGCATGTTCGCCTCAGTTGGGTCTTTTTCTCTTGCAGTGCCAAGAATAGAACCCAGGGCTTTATATGTGCTTAGTACCCCACTAAGCTACACCCTCAACCTTTTGCAGAATCCTAAGGCCAACCAGACAAAGATTCATTTGAAATAAACTACCCTCAGCTCACATGTGTAATCCTAGCTATTCTGGAGGCTGAGACCTGAGAACTGTGGTTCTAAATTCACCGAGACTCTTAAGCCCATAAAAACTGGAAGTAGAGCTGAAGCTCAAGTGGTAGAGTGCATAGCTGTGAGCAAAAACGATCAGGGACAGCACTCAGGCCCAGAGTTTTAGCCCCAAGCACAGCCCCCAAAATTAAATAAATACTTTAATCCCATCGACTCTATCTATTCTTCTTACAGATTTTCCCAACACAATAGCCCATCTATGAAATTCACCAACAAAACATTAAAAAAAACAACCAGGGCAGTAACTTCTATCAAAAAACTATGCAGCAACAGTTAGAGACTGTAGTGCTCAAAATTACCCAGAGACACTAGGTTAATAACCTTTAATTGAACTGTAGTACCCACACAAGCAGCCAAGCAAAATTAGTAAGCATCAACAGAGCAAAATGACTTAATGACAACAACAAATAAAAGCCACACCTACTATGAGCTGAAGAAAAAAGGGCTTAAGAAATACACAAACCAATCAAAACTTCTGTCCAAGGAGAACAGCAAAATTAAAGATTTCAATGAAATAATTGTGATGTATTATACCTTAAATTCTAGGAGAGAATCCTAGAAGATTGGTGTTATTTTTATCCAGTGAGTTTTATGTTGGATAAATATCCAACATAAGTTTTATTTTGAGGTATACAGGAAAAAAGATTAAAAAAAAAGAAGCAAAGCTAGGAACTAGTGGCTCATGCCTGTAATCCTAGCTACTCAGGAGGTTGAGATTTGAGAATCACAATCCAAAATCAGCTTACACAGGGAAGTCCCAAGAGACTCTTGTCTCTAATTAACCACCAGAAAACTGGAAGTGGCACTGCGGCTCAAAGCACTAGAGGCTAGCCTTGTGTGAAAGAGCTCAGGGACAGTGCCCAGGCCTTGAGTTCAAGACCGAGGAGGGACAAAACAAAAAACAAAACAACAATAAAAAAAACAGTAAAGATGCCTAAACTTACTTACTGCCTATTAGGCACCTACTTAACACTGTTCAGAAAATTTGTTCATCAGGCTTAACTTTAGTTTTTATATACTAAGAGTTGTTGTTAAGATTCAAGTGAGGTATGAGGGGTACCCCAAGAAGTTACACAATCTATACAAACATCCTTTTCTACTACTAAATGCATTTTCCAATTCATCAAAACTACTAGCTACTCTATTAGGATGCCCTGTAATTCTGTGGCTCTGTAATGGTGATAGGACTTTCTTAGTCACTGACATAAAGGGGTAGAGCCTAACAACTGCCCACTTTACCTATAAACAGTGCCCTGAAAAATAGTCCAGTGATTTCAAAGGCTAGAAGTATATTATTTTCAAGTCATACTTGCTTTAATATGTAAAAAAAACTTACAACTTCAAAATTCTGTGCTAAAACTCTAATACCTAGTTTTAATTTTAGCTCTTCCCACAACTGAATTAGAAAACTTAAACCTGTCTCTGTAAATCTGTAACACTACTACCCAATAAAGTAAGTAACAAACAGGAATCTTTCCTCCTACTATAGCATACATAATTGTAAGAACTGAAGATGTTTGGAAAGGTATTTATACTCTAACATCTCCATAAATTATAATCTTGAAATAAAAACAGAGGAAGTGGGGAATCTGAAACTTTATACAGCACTAAACTGGAGGAAAAAAAACTGCCACAGACTTTATACATACAGTACTCAACCTTGTTTTAAGTTTTAGAAGTCTTTCCAAGTATCCTATAATGCTCACATATGAATATTTTATACACACTATAGATTAAAAGTAATTCATAATATTTAAAACAGAAAATATGCCTGGACTGGAAACCAACCAACAGACAAACATGGCACATGCAGGGTGGTAGTCTGCTTCTCTAAATAAATCTAATCATGCAATCTATCCTTTGGGGAGTAGGGGAAAAATCAGCTGGGGCACAATTAGCAGAAATACCTTTGGGAAGATAACTACTATTAAGGTTTCACAAAAGTTAATATTATATAACAAAACTTTCCCCAAAATCATATATAAAAAAGGGCATGGACCTTGAATGACAGCTGAAGCAATTTTATTAGCTGTGTGTAACGTTAGAAAATTTGGGGGTTAAACAAATGAAAACACCTAAGGGTTAACATTACAGGGTTAGACAAGATGGAAAGCATTTCCCATGCAAGAATGAGCAGGATAGTCAAACCTGTACTGGTCCCTTCTACTGTGGAAAGCACAAAACAGAAATAGAGGGTACACTATCAGATGAAGCAAACAGATGTGAAAACCAACTCGATTTTTAAGCAGCTCAGTTTAAGAAGGCTCATTTTTTAGTATCAGCACAATAAAAGTCTCCATTTTGTTGTGTGATTGTTCAATACAAAAGTTTTCTCTCTTGGAATTTATCCCACCCACTCTATTTGGATACCCTACAAAAATTCAAGGAAAGAGAAAACAAAGCAAAACAAACCCCTCCTTACTAGAATAAAAGATCCCCAGGCATCAAAGTATAAACTAGAATATACATTTAAGACCATAAGCCTCTTGGCAAATGCCCTAGCCACTATGACCCCCCAAAAATCTCTCAAACATAGGTCTTACCAGTGGGAGGCTGTCCATAAGAAGTTGCATATGCTGTCTGCCCATAAGTGGCAGTACTCTGAGCCTGGGTATAGCTGACATCAGTAGGCTGTCCATAGGTTCCATAGCTTTGTTGCCCATATGCCTGCTCCAAAGGAAATACATGTATGATCCTTCTGTTTTAGCAATAAAATGAACTTATGTTACCCTTTATCTAATTTGCTCATATTTTTGGTAAAGTGAAGAACGAAGATGTTCTTTAGGCAATTAGGAAAAGCATCAGTTAACTTATACAGGAAATTAACAAAAATACTCTTGTGAAAAGAACATAGGGCATGGTGTGTAATTGTCGATACTTAAGAGTAGTATAGCACGGGCTAGGAATGTGGCTTAGCAGTACAATGCTTGCCTGGCATGCATGAAGCCCTGGATTCAATTCCTCAGTACCACACAAACAGAAAAATTGTGCTGTGGCTCAAGTGTTAAAGAGTGCAAAAGAAGCTCAGGGTCAGTGCTAAGCCAGCTGGGTGCCTGTGGTTCACACCTGTAATCCTAGCTACACTGGAGGCTGAGATATGAGGATCTTGGCTTAAAGCCAGCACAGGAAGGGAAGTCTGTGAGAATCTTATCTTCAATTAACCACCAGAAACCTGGAAGTGGTACTGTGGCTTAAGCGGTAGCTGAAAAGATCAGGGACACTGCCTAGCCCAGAGTTCAAGCCCCATGACCAGCCCCCCGCCCCCCCCAAAAGTAGTATAGCAACCCACCCACATGGAAACAAATGGAAGGGTGCATACAAAAAATAAAGTTATACTATTTCAAGAAAATGAACTAAAGCATTACATGTTCTCTTATGACTAGTACATTAAACCAAAACACTAATACTTAAAATCAGACAAGGAATGAGCTGTTCTTTCAGATATTAGCATAGTCATATTATATGTTTGAATAGCCAGTTATGTTAAGATCTACTGCCAGAGATAACACATCCTGTCTTACAATTTTTCCTGAAGTTCTTAGAATCAAGTTTGGATAATTTCAGAATCTGAGGTATTCTTGGACACCAGGCGGCTAATTTCTAGAACCTACTGTTGGTACAGGTTTGTTTTTGGGGGGAGGTCAGAACCCCACATGTGCTAAGCACTTGTTCTAACACTTAGCTCCATTCCCAACTCCTGCCATATGCTTTTATTTTTGCAGCACCAGAGACTGAACCCAGAAAGAGTTCAGGAAAGCCCTCTATTCTAGGTTTTAAACATATAGACTCATAGACTCATAGAAGGAGTTCAAACTGGGTGCTGATAGCTCATGCCTGTAATCCTAACTCAGTAGGCTAAGATCTGAGGATCGCAGTTCGAAGCCAGCCCAGGCAAGAAAGTGTTCATGAGGGGCTGGGAAGGTGGCTCAGTGGTAAAAGTGCTTGCCTTGCATGCCTGAGGCCCTGGGTTCAATTCCTCAGCACCACATAAGCAAAAAGAAAAAAGCCGGAAGTGGCCCTGTGGCTCAAGTGGTAGAGCGCTAGCCTTGAGCTGAAGAGCTGAGGGACAGTGCCCAGGCCCAGAGTTCAGGCCCCACGACTGGAACACCCCCCCCCAAAAAAGAAAGTGTTCATGAGACCTGGTTCTTCAATTTATCACCAGAAAACTGGAAAAGGAGTTGTGGCTCCAGTGGTCAAGTGGTACAAGCCTTGAGCAGAGAGAGGCTCAGAGACAGAGCTTAGGCCCTGAGTTCAAGCCCTAGGACCAGCAAAAAATAAGAATAAAAATTCAGAACTGGGCATCGTGGCACAGACCTGTAATCCTAGCACTCAGGAGACAGAGACCTGTGGATTACAAGTTGAAGGGCCAGCCCTAGCTATGTAGTGAGACCCTGTGGCAAAAAAATGGTACAAGAGGGCTCCCATGTGGCTTAGTGGTAGAGTACTTGCCTAGCATGCACGAAGCCCTGGGTTCGATTCCCCAGTACCACATAAACAGAAAAAGCTGGAAATGGTGCTGTGGCTCAAATAGAGTGCTACCCTTGAGCAAGTGAAGCTCAGGGACAGTGCCTGAGTTCAATCCCCAAGAATAACAAAAAAGGTCCAAGAACTCTAAAGCTAGGCAGCTATGGCTTTTAGACTGTAACCCACTACTAACCACTAGCCAGGTTATCTAAAATTATGATCTGAAGACAAGGGTTCAAAGCCAGCCCAGGCAGGAAAGTCTGTGAGACTTTTATCTCCAATTAACCGCCAGAGAACTGAAGTGGCAAGTGGCATTGTGGCACAAGTGGTAGAGAGCTTGCCCTGAGCTGAAGAGCACAGGGACAGCACCCAGAACCAGAGTTCACGCCACATGACCAAATAAATAAATAAATAAAGGAATGGTTTGATTCATGGTGGCAGAGTGGAGCCCTTTGCAGTACATTAGGAAAATTCCTAGATTTACAATGATTATTTTCATATTACTCATGATTTTTGAAAAAGATCTATGCTAGCTATTACTGTAATAACCAACCAAAATATTTTACTTCAACATACAGTTACACATAATTTAATTATCTTAAGGATTACCTGAGTGGTCTGTGCATATCCTTGAGTTGGCTGGGCTGTGTAAGCACTGTAGCTGTAAAAGAATTAAATTTAAGAACTGAATACAGAACATTTTGATTCCATTCTGCTACAATGACAGGAGGCTGAACTCTCTAAAAACATTAATCATAGATAAAATACTGTTGTAAAGACTGACTTACCCCTGCTGGGCTGCTGCTTGGCTGTAGGTACTATAATCTAGAGGAAACAAGAAGAATGGACAATCAGCAAAGTTAAAGGAAAAATCATAAGGAAGGAATTCATGTGGCAAGAAGTAGTCTTCCAATTGTTTAGCAGGGACCTACAAGTGGGTATACAGACCCAAATAGTACCTATCATCAATTTATACCAAACCAATTAAGTCTAAGTTAAGCTCAGTCTAAATAGGTTACCTAGTAAGATCAAGATCAGCTGATTTGGTAGGATTACTTTGCATGTTCCCACGAACACCATCCCCCTTTAACCACAGCCTATCAATTCAAATATATTGTCCTATCCTAAAACTAATGGAGAACAAAAACAAGAGGCTGGGAAGTTGGCTCAGTGGTACAGTGCTTGCCTAGCATGCATGAGGCCCTGGGTTCGATTCCTCAGCACCATATAAACAGAAAAAAGCTGGAAGTAGCACTGTGGCTCTAGTGGTAGAGCCCTAGACTTGAGATGAAGAGCTGAGGAACAGTGCCCAGGCCCAGAGTTCAGGCCCTATGACCGACCAAAACAAAGAAAAAAAAAAGATGATTCAAACAGGATCAGAAGTTTTATCTTCACATAAAAGGAGACATGATGAAATTATGCTTAACAACAGACTTATGACATCAGTGGGTACAGCTCTGAGAAAAACATTTTAATCACTTTATTACTTCAGCAAGACTTATTGCAATTAATGGCACAACTGTGAAACAGAATGGCAGAAGATAGTCATTACAAGTCCAGTATTTTGTTTATTTGTCAGTCGTGGGGCCTGAACTCTGGGCCTGGGCGCTATCCCTCAGCTCTCCAGGCTCAAGGCTAGTGGCTCTACCACTTGAGCCACAGCACCACTTCTAGCTTTTTCTGCTTAGGTGGTGCTGAGGAATAGAACCTAGGGCTTCATGCATGTGAGGCAAGCACTCTGCCACTGAGCCACCTTCCTAGCCCAAGTCCAGTATTTTAAAGGGTCTGTTGACTGCATCAGATCTACATAGTAGTCCTGTATAGTAACTCTGAAGCTAGATATTGTATAAATGCTAGTGGTACAGGTCAGAGATAAGTGCTTGCCTGGCACGTGTGAGGCTTTGGATTTAATCCCTAGCAACACACAGCCAAATTAAGCAGAATCTTTAGAACTGGCAAAGCATAGGAAAATTTTGATTTTAGCTATCACCACCGTAATTTACTAAAACCTAAGGTAATTTGAACCTAGTGTTTAAGTAAAAAATGCCACTGTGGGGCTGGGAAGGTGGCTCAGTGGTAGAGCGCTTGTCTTGCATGCATGAGGCCCTGGGTTTGATTCCTCAGCACCACATAAGCAGAAAAAAAAAGCTGGAAGTGGCACTGTGGCTCAAGTGGTAGAATGCTAGCTTTGAACTGAAGAGCTGAGGGACAGCGCCCAGGCCCAGAGTTCAGGCCCATGACCAGACTCCCCCCCCCAAAAAAAAAATGCCACTGTTTTTCCTCTTAAGTAAACACTTTTATAAACAAAGTGTTCATAGTACTATTGAAATAAGTTACATAAGCTCATTTTAAGGCAGTTCAAGTAATTGCTGTCCCTCAGCTCTTCAACTCAAGACTAGTGCCCTACCACTTAAGCCACAGGGCCACTTCTGGCTTTTTTCTGCTTATGTGGTACTGAGGAATCCAACCAAGGGCCTTATGCATGTGAGGCAAGCATTCTACCACTGAGCCCCCTTCTCCCCCCCTCCCCCACCTTAGGCTCTTATCTCCAATTAAACACCAGAAACAGGAAGCGGCACTGTGCTCAAAGTAGAGCACTCGCCTTGAGCTGAAGAGCTGAGGGACAGTGCCCAGGCCCAGAGTTCAAACCCAATATCCCACAAAATAAAAAACACAACAACAACAACAAACAGTATTCTCATTAAGGTAAAACAAAAGGGTTCTTTTCCTCCCAGCCAAAAAAAGCAGTCTCTTACCCAAAAGCAATAGCTGGCATCTCAGTTCTTCATGGTAAGAGTTCTCACTGCTTAAAATCATCTGACCTGACCGTGTCTCACTGAATTCACCTCTCTGAGAAAGTTGGCTTTCTACCTCTCTTTACTACATTACTTTTTATCTGCATAGCCTTAACTCAGAACCTTAAGTCATCAACATCATCAAATCAATTGCCCGAGGATATCTATAATGGGGGTGTGGGAGAGATCTTTTCAAGACAATCAAACCATTTTGATTGTGGGTTATGGAGCCCAAATTGGCCTTGAACTAGAGATCCTCCAGTCTCAGTCTTATGAGTGCTGGGATTACAGGCATGCACTATCATGTCAGGTTTTGAAGCACTTCCAACAGCATACAAGTCATTTTATGTTACTTGCAAAATTAAAAACCATTCCCTTCCATTCACAAAAGAAACACAACAAAACAGAATCTTATATCACATGCTTCAACCCATTTTGCTGATATTCTTGTGTGAGAAATTATTTGAAATCACAGAAATGTTTTCAGTTATATTTCAATGTAAGTCCAATGTTTGCATGATATTTACACAAGAGTGGATGTGTAAAACATAACACTGGCAAAGATGTGAAACAGTAGGTGATTTCATACCAGTGTGAAACCAGAGTATTTGATGAGTGGGCTAAGGTAGGCAATAAATTTGTTTCATGAGAATGCATTTATTTATCCACAGCACATGAACATCTATAGTTTCCGATACAAACTGGGTGCTGGTGGCTGTAATCCCAGCTACTGTAATTCTAGCTACTCAGGAGGCTGAGATTGAGGACTGCAGTTCAAAACCAGCCTGGGCTGAAAAGTTCCCAAAAGACTCTTATCTCCAATTAACCATAGCAAAACCAGAAGTGGCACTGTGGCTCAAAGTGGTACAGTGCTAGCCTTGAACAATAGGGGACAGTGCCCAGGCCCTGAGTTCAAGCCCCATGACCCAAAAAAAAAAAAAATCTCCCTCAAATACACACAGTTACACTGGTCGGATTAATCATTAGTTTTGTTTTTAAAGCCTCAAGTGTGCAGAAAGACCTCACAAAAGCCCATCACCCATGACTCAAGCCTGTAAACCTAACCACTCAAGAGGCTGAGATCTGAATATTGAAGTTCAAAGCCAGCCCAGGCAGGAAGTCCTTGAGACTCACCTCCAATAAACTACTCAGAAAAAGCTGGAAGTGGCACTGTGGCCCAAGTGATAGAGTGCTAGCCTTAAGCACAAAGAGGCTCAGGGATAGTGCCCAGGTCCTGAGCTCAGGATGGGGGGAGGAAGGGAACGGACAACAAAAACATCAAAAAGGGCCAGGAAGGTGGCTCAGTGGTAGAGAGCTTGCCTTGCATGCCTGAGGCCCTGGGTTCAATTCCTCAGCACCACATAAGCAAAAAGAAAAAAGCCAGGGGCTGGGAAGGTGGCTCAGTGGTAGAGTGCTTGCCTTGCATGCATGAGGCCCTGGGTTCAATTCCTCAGCACCACATAAGCAGAAAAAACTGGAAGTGGTGCTGTGGCTCAAGTGGTAGAGCACTAGCCTTGAGCTGAAGAGCTGAGGGACAGCTCCCAGGCCCAGAGTTCAGGCACCATGAGTGGCAAAGAAAAAAAGAAAAAGAAAAAAGCTAGAAGTGGTGGTGTGGCTCAAGTGGTAAAGGGCTACCCTTGAGCTGAAGAGCTGAGGGACAGCGCCCAGGCCCATAGTTCAGGCCCCATGACCTGACCCCCCCCCAAAAAAAATTCTCACTTAACACACCAGCTGAGGACACGAGATTTGAGCAAGTGGACCTTTGCAGTGGTAGTTACTTAGAAATTTGCACTTGACTTCTGCTTAACTGGACATATGTACTTTCCTAGAGACATACAAATGAGAAGGTGGCTCAAAATACTTTAAGCTAGTCACACTACCCTAAAACTGTAGAGACTTTGGGCTTCAGACTACATGTAATGTATTACAATCCGCATGAGGTAACTTGGTAACTTTGCTGGAATCAAAATGCTTTAAGGTCAAAGGGTTCGGTTCAAGAAGCTTTTGAAAGGCCTAGTGTACATTTTACAGAAAAGAAACCCAGGTCCAGATTAAAGTTCTTGAAAGATTCTCTGAGAAGGATCCAGCAAGTGTCTAAAGCAATACAGGAGGAGGTGGTTATCAGTAAATAGGGTTTTATTTGAGCAAAGTTGACTGAATAAAAGGCATGCTTAACACACCAAAGTTAGTGTACAAATTTTGTCTTCTGGGTATTACTTTAGTAGGCAAGTGGAAGAGGAAGAAACCACTTCCCACCAGGATGTCTAGGATCAGGGAATCTCACCCCACTGCTCTTAGACTCCTGGCAGCCTGGCATGGAAAGTCGACATTTACCTGCTTACTGACCCCACATGTGGTCCAAGTTAAGACTGTCCTTCAGATGCTGGACTTTTCCCAAAGCTAAACTCTGACGTTCTCCACAGCTTTTCCCGTCTTCCCTCTTACTTTTTCCCACTGCCTCTTAAGGCTAGGATCAGGCCGCCTGATAACCTTACAATGCACGCACCTTTCCCAGCACGTTTTTTTGCACCACACCACGGGGGAAGGCTAGCAGGCCCTAGGCAAACGCTCGGGGCAGGGCAGTAAAGAACCTGCGGTCTATCACCTTCTAGACCCCCACCCCCCTCGCTAGCGCCTGCTTCCAGGAAATAAACAAGCTCGTGGGCCGGCCAGTTTCTCACAGGCCGATTCAAAAGCGCTACACGAAGCCTCAGGCATTTCGGAAACCACCTCACGAGTTCTGTTCCGCCGGCTTCAGAAAGAAGCCAGACGTGGGTTTTGTTTTTTTTTTTTTCCTTGCTAGGAATTCGGCTCCGTTATACAACCTAACCTCCCTCGGCGTTCGCCAGGCAGAGGCTCTGGGAAGCCACTTAATTGCTTGCTTGGGGGGGGGGGTGGTTGGGAAATGGGGCGCACACGTAAAAAAAAACAAAATGAAATCCAAACGGGGAAGGGATGCCGTCGGGAGGCCGGGCAGACCCAAGGAGGGGCTGGAAGCCGCCCGGGGACGGCGGGGCAGCTCGGGACGCCCCCGCCGAGCGGCCTGGCGGATGCCGGGGCCCCCGCCCG